ACGTTCCTCGATTAAGAAATGAAACGTTCCGTGTATCGGTTAGGGGGTGTCGAGGGTCTGCTAAAAGGAACGGGACGAGGAAGGAAATGGACGATCTTTGAGGATGAAATCTTTAACACTTGTCTTGGGATTTTCTTTTTTTTTTTTTTTTTTAGTTACAGTGTCACAGAGTAAAAGTTTGGGATCACTGTCTAATTTACAGAGACGAATCTTGCGATATTAAAAAAATTGGTAGCAGAATTGATATTGGTGTGAATTTGCAAACGAAATTTAAACTGACATTTCCAACTTTCTTCTGAATATTCTCGCTAACCTTGCACTTCACAGTGGTCTCGTTGCTTCAATGGCGCATTGCTCAGAATATTACACCTAATCTATGTTTTACGATCCCTGATTTAAACCAACCACAGTCACGGTTATAATTAGAGCTGAAGTTATTCTTAGAAGGAGAAATTAATCAGAGTGGCTGTGCAATGATAATAGAAAGTTTATTACCGGCATAACTTGCCTCGGTAAAGTGTAATCTGCGCTACAAGTGTAACTCATGAAACGAGGGGTCAATCGAGGGGGGAAATACTTAGGAATGACTTCAACTTCACCTTCAACTTCAACTTCGACTTCAACTTCAACTTCGACTTCAACTTCAACTTCAACTTCAACTTCAACTTCAACTTCAACTTCAACTTCAACTTCGACTTCAACTTCAACTTCAACTTCAACTTCAACTTCAACTTCAACTTCATCTTCAACTTCAACTTCGTCTTCAACTTCGTCTTCAACTTCGACTTCAACTTCATTTTCAACTTCGACTTCAACTTCATTTTCAACTTCGACTTCAACTTCATTTTCAACTTCGACTTCAACTTCATTTTCAACTTCGACTTCAACTTCATTTTCAACTTCGACTTCAACTTCATTTTCAACTTCGACTTCAACTTCATTTTCAACTTCAACTTAGATCAACTTCATTTCCGACTTCTCCGACTTCTCCGACTTCTTCTCCGACTTCTTCACCGACTTACTTCTTCTCCGACTTCTTCACCGACTTACTTCTTCTCCGACTTCTTCACCGACTTACTT